AAAAAACAAAAAACAAAACAAAAACATTTACATGGTTTTGACCACATGCTGATGATATTATGCTTTATAGAAGTGATGTTCATTCAGGCCCAGCATTGCAAATTTTCCATTTTTGCTGCTTTATCTACACCTGATTAGCTGGATCAAGTGTGTTCAGTTGATCATTGAAACTATTCAACTTCAACTTTTACATAATTTCTAAGGAAACTAAAATGACTCATTGACTTGCTGAAGGCTCCTGGTGTGTTTAATTGATGGTTTGGGATCAGTAAGCTTTCAAAACAAGGAAACTTTTTCTTTAGGTGGAGCTTGTGTGAAGAAGTGTTAGAGGGAAAAAGCTGATGAGGTGATGGAGGGACTTACCCATTGTTTGTCAATCTGCAAATCAAACAATGATGTGCAGGACACATGGACATGAGGGACATGGAGGACATGAGACAAGGAAAAGAGGGCAAACATGGTCAACCAATCAAATTTTAAAAACAAATTAGTGCCATTAAAAAATATTTCAATGTATTAAAGGAAGAGAGACCTAAAGAAATACAACTACTTTTCCTAGAAATGATTTGTCCATGAAATATCTTTGATAATCTCTCCACTAATTTAAAGTTGAAGTTCTGTAGTTTATACAACTTTCTTTCCATTTCCATCATAGTTTTGACCTTGAATCAAACATTTAATCTTAAAAGTCATTTTATCTAACACAAGACACATTTTATTGAGACACTGAATAAGAAAGAGTAATTGTCAGAATTTGCAACACTTGGACACACTCTTGGATATAAAACCAAACATTATTGGGTTATTCGGTCTCTGTGAGTCCTGATGTATCTCCGCTTGTTGGCTGAAAAAAATACATGTAAAAACCAGCAGAAAGCGGACAAGTTGTAAAAGCTTTTCTTCTTTTGAAAACCTTTGACTCCTTTTGAGGACAATTTGGACAAAACCCCATCTTCAATTAAACACTATTCACATTTAATCATCAAGGTTATTCAGATAGAGTTTTTGGGCTGAATGAAGTTCCTCCTGACAAGCTGAATGAAACATTTAATGTCATACAATGTCCAACGGAGGTTTGTTGTGTTTGGAAACTCAGAAGGACATTAAATCAGTCAAAACTCACTTATTTATTGACTTGTCAATTCAAGGTGTTAAACCTGTAATTATATCACTAACGGCAATTGGTTCTCTACAGTCAGTTTTAGTTGTTGGGTCATGTAGATATCTGGTCATGTAGATATGTTCTGAAAGTTGTCAGGGGTGATGTCTGACCTCTTGTTGCCATTAGCAAGGGGAAAAGTCATTGGTGTAGATATTGAAGAACAGTAGAATGAGACTGTATCATGTTGGAATATCTCTGCTTGAGAAGTCCTAATGCAATTGACCATTTGCCAAAAAAGCAATGGTCCAATAATAGCTTAGCGAACTTAACTAGGCACAGGAGATCTGTCAAGCATTTTCAATGCTGAGGAACTGTGCATGGGGATGAAGTGCTAGCATAAGTTGCCATCTATATGGTTTAGATTGTCTTTATTCTTTTTAAAACCAAAAACACAAGATAAAAAGGAAGGAATGGATTAAGTAGTGTGTTTATTTGCTCTAAAATTAGCTTTAAATGTTAGCATGCAAGGAAAACTAGCTTACTACCTACAGAAGTAACCCTGTGTTAGTCTCAAGGCCAAGGAGCACATCATCAACTAACATTAGTTTGTGAGGTTACAGTCTAGGTTAAAAGCCCCATTTAAGACTAGCACATCCACTGTGTATCTTCTCACTGTGTAAGATTTGGTCCTAGATGCTAGCAGAGTTTAGGCTAACGTTAGTGCTTCTATGATTTTATTGGATTTGAGGAAGTTTACACTCCAGCCAACGTTACCCCACACTGCAATACAAAAGCAATACTGTTTGCCTGGGACGTGTTATCTTCAGGCATAATGTTTTAACATGATATGATGCATCTTGCAATTAGTAATATCTTAAATATGCACTAAGTCCTCATTTAAAACAAGCTTGAAACATTAAAAACTCAGCCAGGCACCAAATTTTCATTCAACTCATGGAGCCAATGCTATCTTAATTTGGCAACATTTCAGCATTACAAAGAACGTAACAAGGTAATATTTCTAAAAAAGTGGGCAGCACTTTATTGATTATATATAAAATCTGAGCATTAAAGGTAGCCTACCTTTTTTACGGCCTATGCATACGCTGACCTTATTCCCCTCTATTTCCTTTTTGCTCTTTTTTACTCTGTCGTCTCTTTTGTGTGTAAAATTGGGTTACAACTTAAAAATGTTGAATAACATATGTCAACATAACATTAGAATCTGTCTGTATGTTTATATATAAAGCTGGTCTATAGAGTGTCTCTCTGCAGGAAGATATTCAGTGTTTGTCAGTGTGAATAAATGGACAGGCAGTGTTTTCTAGCGGTGGAAGCTGGAAAAGAGAGGAAGCTGAAGGTTAAGAGAACAGTGAGCTTAGCTCTCTGTCAAGACTGCCGGCAGCCAAGGGTTTCGCTCTCAGCGACGCCAAGGCTGCCGCCTCACATAGGCTTCACGGTCATCCATTTAACAGCTCATGTCGAGCATTTGGCCGTTTCAAGTGAACACAAATACACCTGAACTCCCAATCTGCTGGATGTTTCAAGGGAAACAGTCACGTTTTAGAGGCTGATCTGACCTGACCTGTTCAATGTGAGGCTGAAAATAAAAGACGACTCAGGATTTTAGAAGTTCACTACAACAACTCTCTGATGGTGAAATGTGAGCTGCAAACTGGAAAATACTAACATCCATTCATTTTAAGTGATTTAGTCAAGACTCATTAAGAAAATAATTCTGGCAATGTTGAGATGATTTATCTTGTTCCAAGTTCAGTTTCTACTCTTGTTATAAATTATTTCTAGAAATTAGTTATAGTGTTCTGAAACTAGACGGGATACTGCCAGGATCAGGGCCTAGTCACAACAGCAACATTTCAGACCGAAATCTGTTGATTTCAATGGAATTGCTGAAATTAAAAGGGATTTACTCTCAAAAGGTAAAGTAAATCTATTTAACTTTTGGTGAACTTGGACATGAGAATTTGCTCACTTGACTAACTGAACAATCCCTTGCAGCCCCACTTTCCCTCAAAGAAGCAACTGCAGATAAAAATACTCTGCCATCCTCTGTCATCTTTCTGCTCCCATAGTTTCGGGTTGTAAGTGCTTACATATACACTATGCACTTTACAAACTACAAAAATACTTTGAACACATTCAGAAGATGTGTCTGGGGGATATAAAACAGATACACTCAGTATTATGATCATGCGCACAACAATGTTTTTTTATTGCATTCCCAGAACCTAAAACTGTAATTGTAGTGGGAAAATGCACCCTGGGAGAATGTTTGGTGAGCATTAGCAGTTGTCAAGAGTGGATAAAGCTATGTAAAGACCTCCAAACATCCCTACAATCATGAGGGACACTTGTTTATAAGGAACATTAAGAAAACACTTTCAACCAGTATTCACTAACATTCACCATAGATTATACGCTGCAGTGAGTAATAGCTAAGTAGATGTTGCAGTATTGTTGACCAAAAGTTCATGAATAACATATAAGCAACTAAAGTAGGGTAGTACTTAGAACCAGTAGTGAACAATAGCAAACTGTCTTAACAGTGGTGGCCTTTGAGGGAACAGAGAGCTAGAGATTCCAAAATGTAGGAATCTATCCTATTAGCTGTGTGTCACGGGCCAGTTTTGCTAGAATTTAACCTGCTCCACAAAAGAGATGCAGCCTGTAGCAAGCTCTTGCTACGCACATTACCGGTTAGCCTGCCAGCCGCAGTAGCTCGTGAACTAGCCCCTAAAGTTGCAACTACATCGCCAAACCACCAGTACTATCTGTTTCATGAGAATGTGCAGAACAATTCTTCAACTTCTGTCAAACTGGCCATCATTGGGCTGTTTAGACCACTGCTGTCTGTGTTAGTGTGCAAATGGTTGAATGTGAGGTAAACTGTCACTTTGTATGCAAGGTAGGTATTGGGAGATTTCAAAAGTTTCAAAAATTGGTTGTTATTTTGAAGATTTTCTGCGCACACATCAACACAGCAGATCGGACTTCACACATAAACATCTCAGCTGGAGGCTGTCAGGCAGTGTAATCAGTCCATGACTGTTGGCTTACCTCCTCACCGGTGTCCAGCACGCAGAGTTTGGAGCACTGCTTCTTGGCATCCATCAGCACATTAAACATAGTGCAGACTGACAGTGGCACCCGGAAGTCTGTTGACTTACTTGCTTTCTGCATTTTGGCATCAAATGCAGATTTTGTTCTGTGGGAGAAAACACAAAAGGGTTTTATGATTGTTGCCCAAAATGAGTTGAATTTACAGAAACAATTTAGCAAAAAGTTCAAGAACTCATAGACCATCATGCTTCACAAAAGAAGGCTAGATAGTTTGTTGAGCTTCGCGGTCTTCAAGTTAGAAATTAGTTTGCTCATTTGTATTGGTTGAGGTCATAAACCAGCTGCCCGAAAGTCTAACTGAGAAGCTAGCTACTGAAGGTTGGTATCTGTGTATTTATTAGGTTGTATTCTATCTTGATAGCATTCAAAAAAGTGGCTCATGTTGGCAGGTGTGTGGTACAAAAATAAAGACAAAGAGCAAAAAGATCCAGACATATGTGAATCAAGAGGTCCTGATCCAGCTGTGGCGACCTCTCAGTCTGACCTTTTGACACAGGCCTCCATCATGTCACTGGCCATCAGTTTGAGTCTCTGCTCCAGATGTTTGGCGAACTCAGGCTCAGGCCAATGGAGGTCCAGAACGAACATCTGCAGAGCGTCCAGCTTCCAGAACAAATCCTCCGAGGTGGCTGAGCCATTACTGCGGGGAGGATGGAGAGGGTTATTAACTGAACAGCACTAACTTTGACATGGACTCGTTGAGTCAACATGGCTGAAGGATCCTCTATGATGCTATGATGGTTATTACTCTACTCTGCTGAAGAGGGCATTTTTAATTACTGCATTTTTTTAAAACTACTTACTTTCCCAAAGCGTTTCACTCAAGTAAATGTGGTATATTTTCAAAAAGAATTCAGAAAGCACTTCAGTAGTTTAGTTGCACGTCTGCTAACTCAAGTTAATTTTAAACAACTTTTATGTGAACATATTTGCTTGTTTTTATGTTTTGGACTTACATATTTTTGGAATGTCGTGTACATTATGCTCTTTTCTGAAGGGAGAGACCCTGTTGATGATTTGTTTCTCTAAGAGTGCAGTTGCAAATGATTTTGGCTTGCAGAGAAGGAGTGGTCCTGGTTGAGCTGTTATGCAGGCAGCCATTGTTTTCAGTTAATTTCGACGAAAATCAACTTGCAGAGCCTTAAAAAGTGTGGCAGAGAAATGAATCCATCACAGATGAATGTTTTGATGTCTAAATAATGTGATCTTTGGATGGGGATACAGCTGTGAGCACAGGCCATTTCAGATAACTCTTTGTGTTGATGCGTTCATGAGCACTCCAACACCTGAGGCTGCAAAGTTAGCTATTTAAAAGAAACATTTGGACATGCTTTGTTTTTATATAAGTCTGTCATTTCTAAACTAAACTAATTTGGTAGAGCTAAGTATACCATTATCAGTAAAATGCTGACCCATATATTTAAGTCTAACAACTTCAGGGTAAGAACAACCAAATTCACTTCATAATTTTAATTTCAAGGGCTGATTTTCTGATAATCTTTAGGCGAATATCAAACCCAGGATATCAAACTGTCATGTAACGCACAAATCACGACAGTGATGGATTATTATTCTGCTGTGAATTGATTTCCAAAGAAGAAAGGAAGAAAATAAATCAAAGAGCTAAAGGGTGATTTAAAAACTGACCAGAAAAAAGGCAGAATATTCTTGATTTATCTTTAATGTGCACAAACGTGCTGATTCACTAATGTGATCTTCTCTTTGCTGCTATTTGATACAACCAGTGGCGAAAGAAACTATTAACAGAAGATAAGTCTATTCAGGTTCTAGTGAGCTTCTTCAACAGGTCTTGGTAGCTTTGGTGCAGAGCTGTGTGGTTTCACTCAGTAAACACAGCACCAGGCGGAAACAGAGACAGATGGACGTCTCCCCGCCTTCTCCCCTGCGCACAGGTTACACAGCAACACATGGCAACGCTTGCCGCCACCGACATCCAAGTGTACAGCGCCCGGCTAGAATGATAGCCACAGGAGGATGGAGGAGGGGGTAGGAGGGTGATTGGGGGGGGGGTTAAAACAAGCGCCACTCACTCCCTCACTTTTCTCACTTCGCCTTTAAAAGACTGTTACCTTAACAAGTGGCGCAAAGGAATAAATGCTTTGGGCTGAGTCCGTGGTGCAATTAAACGCTCGGTGGCTATCCCCCTCATGTCTAATTAGCGGTGCTCTTCTCTGAGCACGCTCCGCCCCGCTCCCCGGGGAACGGGACGATCCCACTCGCCCGTCTGTGCTCGCTAATGAAGTGCCAGCTTTTTTTCTCTCTTTTTTCATTGGATCGAGAAGGGCCAAGTGAAGTGAGGTAGAGGAACAGTGTGGTCTGTGTTGTGGGAAAGGCTGGGGGAGTCAGAATGAGGAGCCTTTTTAAGAAACACAGCCTCAATCAGCCTCCTGGTCGAGCGTTGCCAGTTCTGCTGCAGACTCACTTGCTCTAAAACAGACATGAAAACATAGACATTTTTCTAAAACCAGACTGAGCAGGTGAATACAGATCATACCTTTGGTTGCCCACTGATCACACAGCTGAATATACGTAGCAAATAACATATCGATTCATGCTCAGCCACGAAATTATTTTCAGAGGAATCACTACTGAAAAGAATTGGGTGTTTTCCCCTGAAATACTCCTAGATAACATCAGCCACTTAACTCAGATGAAGCTATTTTAAAACATTGCTTGTAAACGTTTAATAATGTATTATTAACAATCATTAACAAGTTTATATTACATGTTTATACTGTACTATCTTACGCATAGACTACACTGTAACTTCTCATAGACCGGCGCCTACCAAACTCTAATTAGTCAGTACAGTAATCACAACTCATTTGCTTGTGGCCATTGCATAATGTGCACACCGCTCAGCTTAGCTTAGCGTGAATAGACAGATGTGACATCTCCATTGTTTATGTTTCTCAGATTAAGCTATTCTGTCCCTACAGAAACCACATACTTGTAGAGCTCCCATCAGCTTATGGAAGTCGTGACAACTCTTTCTTTTTCTCCAGCCATGGCCACAACAGCCGATGTTTTCTGGGAAAGTGCAATGATGCTTGTGAGAACGTTTGGCTTCCCAAATGCTATGCTATGCAATGTTGAGGCAGTTTAGGTAACTACGTGACGTTCCCTCATCAGTCATAACTTCTCTTGGGACCTCTACTTGGACAGTATCTCTACCGTTGTCCCATTCTGAGCTCATGTCGTCTGAGCTAGCCTTAGCATTCTCATGCTCCAGTTCTGCCTTTAGAAGAAACAGGTTTTTCTTGTGCTACTTTCTGGTATGAAGAGGCCTGCACCATCTTATGTTCAGCTGCTTCATGTAGCACTTGCTTCTTTCTGATTTACATTTTGTCTGCATATTCATATTTTAATGCATTCGGCCTATCCCTTAAACAGATATCAGAATGGTTGTTCATTTTCGGCTGATTGACTAAATGGCTAATTGTTTTAAAATAAACAAACCGTCATTACCTCCAGTTTTTAGCTTTATTAGTTGGATTTAAAACAGTTTCCTCATCACCTTTAAGTCCCACCATAGCTTTTTGAATTGCTGAGCTTGACCCAGCTTGAGGTTCTCGCATCTCTGCTATCAGGACTCTGAGGCCCAAGATAAAAGGAAGCACATATTGTGCCTAAAAATCATTTTTACATATGTTAAATGGCATACTATCAGATCTTTTTCTTGTTTGGTGCTGGAGTCCTGGGATGTGTGATACATGAGAAGCTAGATGGTTCTTGTTTGTTGTTCGTGAGCCACTGTTTACAACAATGAAGATCCTTCAAAGTTAATTTTTAAGTGCATTATGTTTTTTTCTACACCTCAATCAATAATACGTTAAAACCTGGTAGAGTCAAGGAGTACAAAATGTTGTAAAACAGTGATAACCAAAAATAATGATAACTGATTTTCTTTTTTTTGTTTTGTATATTTTGTCATGTGGACATTTCGGAGGCAAAAAAATTGCTCAACTTACAAGATGTCAGGTAGATTTATTCCTTGCAAGCTGCAATAGAAAATTGAGGTGTTGTGTTATTACACTGATATTCTTCATATTGCAACATGCACACTGCACAGCACAAGGATTCGTGACACACGGCACATCACAAAATCTTCACCAACGAGTCTCTGAGGAACGAGCGCATGCAGGCGGCGCCCCGCTGACAAAAGAGCCACAGTGTCACTGAAACAATTTGAAACCACAAAGCTCCCTCTCATGCCGAGTCTGGCTCATTCAGGCGAGAATAATGCTACATGCTCTTCAGTTTACTCCCAGAGACCAGGACTCAACTAAAGTTTTTGTCGATTTCAGTAAGTAAAGTACTTTTACAATAGAACATTAAAACTTGAGCGGGGCTTCATGCGGGGGAGTACAAAAACCAAGAGGCATCAGTGGAGTTCTGACTTGAGAAGTTTCTTGATATAATAATTCATTTAACTGACAGACTTTCTGAATAACAAGCAGACTGACCGCGGAGCATTCAGTGCAGACAGAAGCCAGTCCTGGCTAGAAGTCTTTACCCATACCTAACCCATGAAAACCAAAGGCCAGACCTGAACTGTTCCTGGTCTCCCATGCACACCGTTTTGTACACCACGATTAGGGTCTGACTACAACTCTTTGGTCTTTTTAAAAACTTAACTTGAATATGTGTGTCTGAGTAGGCCAGCTCTACTTTAGTTCACTATTTTTATTTTTATCCATGCTAGCTCTGGGAATGGCGATGCTGTCAGCCCGTTGTTTCAACATTTTCAACTATTGGATGCATTTCCATGAGATCTATGGTCCCAAATTGAGTTGGTGATCCCTTAAGTCTTTCACCAGAACCATAGATTACCTCTAAAACAAATGACTTAATTCCTATGAGCATCCTGTAAACATTAGCAACAGACCTGTTTCACAGCAGCCGTTTTGACGTGAAGTAGTAGGGTAATCACAGGTGTTACCAATGATGCTATTTAATATCAAAATCGCTGCTATGGAAAAGGTCTACTGCATGTTTAGCTTCAGCATGAAGCTAATGCGTATATTAGCAACTGTATGCATGTTACTACCACTACTACTGTAGTTGTTAATGTTAGCATTATGAATTAGCTTTAGACAAAATAGTATGCTAATAAAAAGATGGATGAAAAAGCATGTTACTAGCATGTTGTTAGCATTTTAACACAAAACCCGTAAGCATGTCAAAATGCTATCTTGGCCTTCAGCTTATAGTACATCTGAATCTGATTAAAGCTGGGCTGGGCCAGACAGTGTAGAGCAGAACCTGGATAAACCCATTACCACTCACTAGTGGCAAGGATCCAACAATAGAAAGACTTTTTGCCAGTTTAGTTGTTCCGTTTCTTTTTTTCTAGCGTGTAATAAACCTAACAGTGTTGCTGGCATGACTAGTCTTTTTGTACTTAGCCCACTGTATTTTGCCCTTCGTATGAAAAACAATCACTGTCACTGCTCACATAGAAACATGTTGTAAACTAGAACAGACCAGGTGGCTTTTTATGGTTTTCCCAGCTGGTTCAGAGCTGGAGAAGGTAACGAACCAAGCGCTTTACTCTGGCTTCAAACTAACTGGAGGCAGAACATCAGTAATGTCCTATTGTCTTTGGGTCTGTTTGGGTGAGGGTCTGGGTATTTTTTACAGATGGATATCCTCTTGGATACTAGTGAGATGCCTCTTAGTTAGAAATTCTAAGACTGTGTGATGACTTTTAGTCTAGTCTACCCCCCATTATACATACGTGTTCTCACACAGAGGTCCCATCCAGGCGGGCGTGGAGAAGCTGGGCATCTGTGGCAGCGTGAGAGGGAGGCTGGGTACTTTGGGAAGAGGAACGCTCGCTAGATTGTTAGTTAACGACCTGCCGGTCAGAGTCAGTGGTGAGGTTGATCGATGGCGGAAAATAAAAATATTAAAAGAATAAAAGAGAGAGAGGTAATTTTGACAGTAACAATGGCCATTAGTAATTGTAACATATAATAGGAGCCACTTGTTCTACCTGTAGTAGCCTAATAGAGCAATAGGAAATCAATAAAACTGAAAAGTGTCTTCTATTCATTCTATTTTCTTTCAGTTCAGGGGCTTTTTGTTAAAGAATACAGCTCTGTGAGATCAGTATCATATCATATTCTGAAACTGAAATAAAAAGCTTTGACAATATTGAAACTAAGTGTTAAAGCTTGCTAGTAATGCATTTTCCTTATTCACAACTGCAGCACTTAAAGGCCCAGTGTGTAAGATTCAGTGGCATCTAGCGGTGAAGTTGCAGATTGCAAACAACTGAATACAGCTCAGCCTTCCAAGTGTAAGCAAAACTAGCAAACACATGTGAAAGACCCTGTCTACAGCCAGTGTTTGGCTTGTCTGTTCTGGGTTACTGTAGAAACATGGCGGTGCAACATGGTGTACTCCGTAGAGAGGAACCGCTCACTCTGTAGATAAATACGGCTCATTCTAAGGTAACATTTTTCTTTCTTTTTTATTTTCAGACAATGCACTAATGAAAACTGAACATATGAATATGATATGCCATTTCTACAGTAGATACTCCTAAATTTTACACACTGGACACACACACACACACTGGATCTTTAACTCTTCTGCCCTTATATGGATTTATTGAGGCGTTTCCATATGCATATCCAATTTAAAATCAAACGCATCATTTAAAGGTGGGTAAGAACAGACTTGGCTGTCAGGATTTTCTTATTTTCCTCTTATTGCTTCGTGCAAGAACAAATAGAGAAAAATAAGAAAACATTCATACATGAGTCCCATTGTTCCTGACTGCAGTGTGTCCTTGCTGTATGTTGTACATTCAGCTGTGCCTCCTTTTGTTTCTCTGCTGTCATGTGCCATGTTTGGTTTGTTCAGTTCCCCTGTCTTTTTTTGTTTCTGTTACATTCATGCAGCTGCCAGTATCACACATCAACAAATCATCACCGCTGATAGTAAACAGAAGGTAAAAAAACAATGAGGTACGACTGAAAATGGCCGAGTTCATGTACATGGCAAGAGGATGATTATATCAGATAAAGACTTTTTGGCGTTATCTTTGCACACACGGATACTTATTAACAAAAGCAATTGACTATTTCAAGACGAATCGTAGCTCAAATGCACATAAAGATAGAATCTGAGTTGTACCAACACTACGCAGCATATACTGCATATGGAAGTAATACATCACACACATTGTGTGTCATTAATGTGATCAAAATAATCTGGTAATGTGTCTTAAAAATGGATGGAGGTGCCACACACTATTTTAAATCTCTCTCTAAATCCTACTTATGTCTCTTTATATTTCTGTCTCTTTATATCCTGCGTGTCTTTTATATCTTGTTGTACCTTTTATGCTTTATGTAAAGCACTTTGCAATGCCTTGATGTGCTATATACATTAACTTGCTGACTTTGTAAAGAAAAATTGGATGTCTGCATTTTTTCATACACATTATAGTTAAAATAATTACAAACCGGGTCTAAATGATTTCTTAGATTCATTCCCCCACTGTTCAGTCTGAAGCGACCACTTAAACTGCATGTAAACACAACACATTTAGAAAGCGCAAAATTGTCGGACATATTAAAATGATTCCAATAAACTTAAAAGTGCAAAAGCGCTCTTTAATAGTTTTTACGTCTATAATGTTATGTGATGTGATCTTCTGAATGGCAGGGTTAGAAACTACTGGATGTCATATGAATAAAGAGAGACAAATATTAATAGTCTGTATGGTACAGTGCAATCATTGCTGTGTGGGGGGTTATTCAATTCTTCACTTGATCCAGCTGCTGAAAAGCATCCTGCAGTACACGGGGAACCTAAATCTAACGCTAATCACTCATGATGGCGTGGAACAGGTTGGCGGACTCTTACTTGACGGACTGCCAGGTTTCCTGCTCGAAGCCACGGTGGATGGACTGGGCGATGGACGACTCCATCAGGTCGATGTAGCGCACCACCAGGGGGACAAACAGTTCCTGCAGGTGCTTGTGGAACGTCCCATTGCACAGGTGAGCTGTGGGGGGCGGGGACAAGAGAAGACCAGGTGAGCAAATATTATAGCTTTTCAGACCATTTCCATGAAAACTAAAACAGAAAAAGAAGACTACATTACACAGCCTTGTACCCAACTGACATTTAGATTGTACTAATCTGCAACAGCAAATATGTACTGAAAGCAGTATATATCAACAGTGGTCAACAGATTCTGCTCACAACTACTTTTGAGGAGTGCAATTTTTGTACGGATTAAACAAACAACATGCAACATGTTAATTAATGGGTTTAGAGGTATCATTAGGCAGATTTTGTAACATTTAAACAGAGCCCGGTTAGCTGTTTCCCCCTGTTCTCTTTGTGCTAAGCTAAATATTTACTCACTATAACTAGCTAACTATAGTTGCCATACAGACACGAGAGTGGTATCAATCTTCTCATGTTACTCTTTGCAGAAATTGAATAAAGGTGCTTCTCAAAATGTTGAACTATGCTACAGCATTTAGACAATAATGTGCTTCCCTTAAGTGTCAACGGTGTTCAAAGGGTAGAATTTGTATTGTAGAAGGGCTGTTCCTCTAGGAATAAATGTGATTGCACAGGTTTTCGGGATATTGTGATACCCGCCCAACCCAACCCATCCTTGTAGGTTTGAGAAAGACTGTAAAACAGACAGATAAATCCTTAAGGACTGTAACAGTCCACAGGAGGAGAGACAAAGACAGAGAGTGCTGGGTGAGAAGCGAGCAGGCTGGTCTCTCAGGACTTCATTAGTTTTAATTCCTCTCGCTCTGCGCCGTCATGATTAACACTAGCCTTTTTGCCCTCCAGAGAGTAAAACCAGCCTCCCTCGCAACTGCTCGCCTTCGCATGCTGACAATCAAGTGAGCATTTAAATAATCTACAGAACAAGTGAAAGATAATACACTTGTTGAAGATGATACACAAAGAGCTGATGAGATATCCAATCATGTCACCTGAGATCAGCCGATCATCGGTCACTGTGGAGGTTTTGTTGATTTTCTGAACGTTTTAAATATTTAAAAAATGCTGTGAACAATCAGAAAAGTCAAGGATTGTTCAGATTTTATCCCTATGAGGTCAATGTGAGAAGGCAAATTGTAATAAACTTCATTATCCTCCAAACATTTTTTACTTTAACCTGTCACCCCAGTGTCTGATCGGGACTGAACTCAAACAGATCTCTTTCTTCTCACTTTAGACATAATTATGAAAAAGGGAAAGCCTCATTTGTGTGAACAGTCAAAACTATGATTTCGCTCGTTCTGTTTATCGGCTCTGTCTATTGCCTCATTATGCTCCAATTTAAGTTGACTAATGTTGTGACACTTGGAATAATTACGGCATTAACAGAGAATGGTAATTAGAAAAAATATAAAAGATATGAGCCACAAAAAAGGAGATTTGTGGGTTCTTCACATAATGAAACGCTGAGTTTTTTGTTCCCAACAGTGCCCTTGGGCTGTCTGTCTATCTGCCTGCCTGTTACTGTATTCGAGGTACTTTGGCATCAGCCATGTTAAATAACGCCTCACATCTCGCCAAATCTCTGCTGGCTCTGAGACAAAGCCGAAAGAGCTGAAGGAAGGCTTGGATAGAGGAAACAATGAGCTGAGATTTTTCTCTAGCAGATAAATTAAATCTTAACAGTAAGATGCAGTTTATCAGGGAAGAAAATACTACAACAATCTGAAATGCAGCAGTGCAATCTTGATGTTTGTCATACTTTAATGTTTCCACCATAATAGTTTTTGTTCTTTTCTTTGGGACCTTGAGACATAGAAAAGCACATTACAAAAATAATTGGGTGTACAAAAAATGTTTCCTTATTCCTTAACTCATGTTTGTTGCTGTGTGGATGTCTTCCAGAAAATGGTTTACTATTCATAAATTCACAAAATAGGTGGAAAATGATGAATGTGAGCAATAAAATCTCATCTGCTGCTTTGATTTTTTTCAGCTTCCATCTTTTCTCAATACACAAGTGTCAGTGTAGATTGACAGACTGATTTGAATTTGTTTTTTATTCTTATTTTTCCTTGACCTCATCTTTCTTTAGTTATATTTCTTTTTACACTGTAAAGCACATGCTACATAAATAAAGATTAGTTGATGGATTTAGGTGCCTTTCGTCAAAAGACTTATATGTATATAAATACATATACACATATATAATTTTTTCTTTCTTTTCCTGTGACCTTGTGTCCTTATTTTAACAGTAAAAAAAGCACCATCGATATAAATCATATAGAAATTAGCCCATGAGTGGAAAAAAAGAAACAACCCCTGAAGAGTTTAGTTTCCTGTTCACTAACCAGCCAGGAGCCTGACGTTGTGCTAACATCCTCTGCAGCTACCAGCTGACAGGTAGACAGGTCAGCTGACGTCAAGTTGAAGATAAGATAAGATGTCCCTTGTCCAGCCTCGACAGTTTTCTCCTCTGCTTGTGTTAATTAACTCTCTGTCGGAGTGTGCGAGTTACTGTTAACCTTGTTTCTTAGCAAGCCTTGTTAGCGTCATCGGTGTTAATTAGCATTCTTAGCGGCAAGACCATGTGTTGTATGGCGTTTTCCTCCCTAAAAGCTGCAGTTTTAGAGCCACGAAAATGAAGGTCAGACTGTAAGTATGAAAAGAAATGATAAGGTATCAGTGAGGAGCCATGGCTAAACCGCTGATTTATTGTATTAAGTGAATCCAATTTCTCTTATTTTAAAACTGCAGTTACAAAATGCTTCCTGTAAAATGTATACATTTGAAAGACTTCATTACCCAGGAACACTATGGGGTGCATAGACTAAATGTCCTTTTCTCAGTGAGAGTGTGCGTGTGTGGGGGGAGAAGGGTGAAGGTAATAGAGGTGGTGAGAGCAGTGTGACACTAGAAAGAGATTTTTGGATTCCAGCTTGGATCTTTCCCTCCCCGTGTGGAGCAGATTTCCCACCAGAGAGAAAATTGACAATTTAATTTGGAGAAAGTCTGAAGCAGCTCGGTGTGTGTTAGTGGAGGACGATGATATGACTGCTGCACACACTTGTTGGTTCAGAGCCCACAGAAACTGGCAGAGTAAAGCTGTGATTACAGACAGCAGGAAATTATACACTGAACTCTGTTTGACACACAGTTTGTCAATGGCTGAAATCACGGTAAACCGTTTATGCTGAATTTCCACCCAGTAAATGAAACAAGCAGGAGTTAATGAGATGTTTGCATGTACGATTGTATCAAGACATGTCATCAGAGTAAAAAAAAAAAAGGTTATATGTGCAGTATAAAAACATATTGATGAAAGCGTATGCAGTGATTCTGAGGATCACAATCTGCTCTCATCATTAAATGTCACACTGAGCGAACAGGTTTTGAGCTGGAGAGTTGATCCACAACTTTAACAATAGGTGGTTTACCTACATTATTAATCAGTTTTGAGTGGCTTTTTGTACTCGTACTTTACTTTACTCTGAACCATTGTAGAAGACCTCTGGATTCAAACTAATGTAACAAGGC